GAAAGAGAAGCGTATTAGTAAGTGGGTTGGGGGGTTCTCAACCCCCATAACTATTAGTTGAATGCGTTTTTATTCCCGAATTCAACGGTACAGTTCTATTAAGGAGAGTGGTTCTTTCCGAAAGCAAGCATTCGGGGTTCTTGGGGAGTGGGGTTATGAAGACCGAAGATCTGCGTAGAGTTTTTATTTATAAAAACTCAAGGAAGAGCTCTGCTCTCGCAGAGTGTGCTTAAGTGAGAAGGCCAGCCTTCTCACTTAAGCACACTCAAGGAAGAAACCTTGCAGATGGGCTATGCCCGTCTGCAAGGAAGGTGGGTAATACCCACCCGCGCAGAGTATGATTAAGTGAGAAGACCTTCTCACTTAATCATACTCAAGGAAGATGGGCTTTGCCCATCTCGCCGAAGGGCTATGCCCTTCAAGGAAGAGCCCTGCTCTCGCAGAGTTTTTATTTATAAAAACTCAAGGCATTGGTAGTGAGCGATGGACCATCGCACACAATGAACCCCATAACTATTCGTTAAAAGCGTGGTTATAGCTGAATGAAAGTATTGGGGTTTATAGGTGAATGGCGCAAAAATAGCGCTGAGTAAAAAAAAGCCCCTTAGGAGTGATGACGAAAAAAACAAACATTCCCTAGTATAAAAAGCGGAGCGAAAAAGGGGGTGTTTAGAAAACCCCCTAGGAGTGATGACGAAAAAGCGAACATTCCCTGGTATAAAAAGCGCTGCAAAAAAGGGGTATTTAGAAAACCCCCTAGGAGTGATGCCGAAAAAGCGAACATTCCCTAGTATAAAGAGCGTTGCAAAAAAATTGGTATTTCCAAATCTATTGCTTTTTTTATAAATATAGTATTTTGATTTAATTTAAGAAAGTATAATGTTAAAATCATTGTGAGCGATCGCTCACAACGAATGCCTTGGTATATTATATTTCGTACCAGCAAGCTGGAAAGGGGGAGAGAGGAGGGGGGAGAGAGGAGGAGGCCGCCCCAAACAAATACCCCATGACAAAGATTGAGGACTAATGTCCAAAATCTAAGGCTAGGTTCTAGGGATCCAGTTGTGACACAGACAACTGATGTACCGAAGCGAAGCTCTAAGAGAAATACCGTACAAACAATATTTGTCCTACTAAGGACCTTCTTTTAAGATGCGTACTAGCATTTAAACGCGCCTTTTGCTTTATAAAAAGCCAATTTATAAAATTATAATCTCAGTAAGCTTTACGCTTATCTCACGTCTATTGAGTTGCTAACCCATAATGCAAAAGGTACGCTAAATTATAGCTGTTTATAAAATAAAATACGTAAGATGTATAGAGTAGTGCATATAAATTCACTGGATGTTACGTAATGCACTCATGCTCAGGTTTGCTTGTAAGACGAGAAAACCCGTCTCGTAGGATCATTGATCCAAGGAAGGTGCACATAAAAGTAAAAAATTATAATCGCAGTTTAAAGAGCTTTATTCTCTAATTACCAGTTTCATTATTTCCTTCACAGTACTTAGTGCACTATCAGTCGCTACTCGTTTTATAAAAATTTGATACAGGAGCAGTTTCCACTACCCCAACCATGTTACGACTTGCTTGGACTCTAGTATCACGCATACGTTCTCAAGCTGCGACATTAAGTGTGACCAGAGTTCTTCCTGTACAATACTATAATCCAAGGTGACGGGCAGTTTGTACACAATAGAGGTTGCCTTCACCGTAGCGCTAATGATCTACGATTACTCGCGATTCCTTCTTCATGGGAGCCGTTTCAGCAATGCATTTAAATAAAATGCTATCCCAATCCGTATATTCAGACAGTTTTAATACTCATTTTGTCGTGTCTAATGTAATACGCCTGTAGCCCACATTATAAGCCCCATGATGATTTGGTAGATCGTTCAGACAAACGTGGCAAAGGCAGGCTTTGAACGTGCCCCGCTCAAACGCTTCAACCATGCAAGAGCCATTGTTATAAAATTACAGTATATATTATATTTGGGTACCTTAGCTCCACCTCTGGACTGTTCTCCTCTCGACATTGGACCTTACCGCTCAATGTCTGAATGTGTGTGTATGATCCATTGCCATTTGTATAAACTACCGGCAATTTCTTATAAAATAAGCAGCATTGCTTAAGCCACTAAGCTATGCATCCGGACTTAAAATCTACCCTGTCCGATCGTAGACAAGGCAAGATTCGAACTTGCGCATGCTGGCTTATGAAACCAGTGCCTTAACCTCTTGGCAACTTGTCCGGTTTTGTTGCAACGGTATGTCTCGACTATACACCGGGCTGGCTTATGAGGCCAGTGCTCTACCATTTAAGCTACGTTGCATTGTCTACGTCTCAGATTTTTTTTCTGCACAAGTTTTATATAAAAAAAATGTGGTAAGATGTTGCGTGTAGTATCGATTGCTGTATTGCCTGCTTGGTTAGTTCTTCCTATTAGTAATTATTAGGTTTTTGTATATTGTAGTATTCTAGAACGTAATAACTATAGCGCATGAAATTGTTTCAAAATACTGGTTGCATTCTCAAATGCAAGCTGTGCTTGCTTCTCAGTCAAAAAAGAATTTTTAAGAAAATAATCTTTAACATTTTGTGGAGTATTACGACGTGGAATCTCACGATCACTTAAAGATTGGAGATGAGCAACAAGGTAACAATTGCGCAAGAAATCAACTGGATTCTCAGAAGGAATAGCCCAATTATCTAAAATATAAATAAATAATTTTAATTGAGTTGCTTTAGCATTACAACCTAATAAGAGAATAGAAGCCGCGTAGCGCATATCATCACGAGTATTTACAGCATATACATATTGCTGGTCATACTGTCGATAAATAGTTCCAACACCCAGTACACGTTTAATTTTATGTAAAACGTCAATACGGGTTTGTTTTTGACCAATGGTTAAGCGTAGCTGAATCCCATAAATAAATTTCTGTTTTTTAGTAGAAATAAAGCTATTGGTACAACCCTCACCATCAAAAAAGCCACAAACATAATACAAATCAAGAATATGGCCAAAACCAGTAGCTAATGCTTTAGCAATTAAAGCACTATAGACACTAACGTCTTTAATAATAGACACAATATCAGAACCTTGAGAAAAAGTGCGTTTCATGAGACGATCAATAAGAAATTTGTTATTTAGCCAAATCATTTTATATAAAAAAATGTGGTAAGATTTTGCGTGTATCGACGATTTAAACAGCATATTCCACCGCGCATCTCTATCACTGTCAATTGCTTTGACTACGAGCGTTGCCGCCGTGTCGCCAGGCGTTATAGATTTAACTATAATTTGTTGACGGCTTGGACTACTGCGGGTCTCTAATCCGGTTCGCTACCCAAGCTTTCGCGTTGAAGCTTCAGTGACCTTCATGCTGGTGCCTTCGCCTTCGGCTTTCCACCCGGAATATTCTCATTTGACCGATCCTCCGAGTATTACCCAGCGTTTAAAGTGTTCACCACTACGCTCAGACGCTCTGCCCGCCTAGTTAAGATGCTCTATACTGACACCGCACGTCTTACCGCCTCTGCTGGCACGTGCTTGGAGGGTGTTCACAAACAATATATAAAAATATAGTCCGGAGCTTTTAAAAGCCCGGTTCATTCGATGTTATTGAATAAAAGCAATTCAGCCTTTTAGAACTTAGCTATCTTGCTATGCCTTTATAAAGACAACAAGTGTACCAGAGGTTCACAGGGGTCTGGTCCTTTCGTACTCGCCCCCAGCGGCTACTTTTGCTTCGGTTGTTAACCTTACGCTAACAAAGATAGAAACCGAACTGTCTTACGCATAAACCCTGCTTAATCCAATTAGCAGGCATGGACTATGTCTTCACTACAAATGGGTAGTGTCGGCGTATTATAGTATATGATTTATATACTATCAACAGTTTAGAATGAAGGCATTGGTTGAGAGGGCGCTGCCCTCTCAATGAAACTAAACTGCACAGTCTCTACAGAATTTAAATCAAACGGTTTATATAAAATTATAATATTTTTCCGTTTGATTTAACAATTCCTCGGCGTTGTTATCTATGTCCAGTTCTTACATAGATAGTTTCGCCGATTAAGCCGATGCTATGCTTTAAATACATAAAGCAAACGCCTAAGAAATGAATTGACGTTCTGAACTCAGATCACGTACCGCTTTAATGGACGAACAATCCAACCCTTATGACCTCCTTCAGCCATAGGACGCGATGATCCAACATCGAGGTCTCTCGTATGCCCATCGATAGGAACTCTAAGGGCATGTTAAGCTGTTATCCCTAGCGTAGCTTTTGTCCGTTGATCGGGTTACCATTTCAAAAAATAGAGTGTACTTTAGGCATGTTTCTTTTAAAAATCACTTTTCCTCCTATTAGTAAAGTTTTACTATATTTTTACTAATAAAAGAGATAACAAAAATAACCAAATTTTAGTATCTATAGATAAAATTCGTTGCTATTGGCGAGTATTATGCTATAAATCAATTAATTTATAGTTTTCTTTTAAATGTTTAAATTTATACATAACACTGGGGTGAAGCAGAGGTTTAAGCATATATGCTAAATCGATAGATGATTTAGTATTAAATGCTAGACGTTGATAAATACCGTCTTTGTGTAAAGAACAAATTAGCCCAAACTTTTGATTCAAGATTTTACATAAAGTCTCTTGTTGAGAAGGGTCAAAATTATGAGTACTTAAATAAACAGCAGTTTTACCCAAGCGACTACCGTCACCTGTAAACCAATAAGCAAGTGTAATTGGAGTAATCAAATCGACAATGTTCACAGGAAACTCTTTCTTGTGCTCGTCGTTATACCAAACATGCCGTAACTCTGTAAACAATGGGTTAGCTTTGGAATAGGCTCGGATTCGATAAAGTGGGCTAAACCCAGTAGTAAGCTTAGAATGCTCTCGTTTACTAAAGTTACCGGTGGCTAAATCAAGCTTTTTTAACATAGCAAACACACTAATGATCATAAAAAGATTATGATCTTGCCAAGCACAGTGCATATCAAAGAGAGCGTTACTTTTTTTGGATTTTTTCGGTGTTAGATAACCGTCTCCAAGAAGAATTCCGGTCAGACATTGACTTAACACGTGATTGGGGTCTAAAAGAGAAGTTGGTAAACTCATTTTATCAATCTCTTTCTGAATCCACTCTGGGATATATTGTTGAAACTGGGAATCGGATACATTATAATGATTAAGGATAGAATTTTTAAATAGCATGTTATATCATAACACCCCTATTAAATATTAGAGTGGGAGTCCCTCATATTATTTATGAGTCCTCTTGGTTCCCTACTCCCCCTCATTCCCAATCGATAAGCTACATATTCATGTAGCTTATAGAACCAAGCCCCACCTGAGTTTTTCTCTTCGAAAAACCCCAATTGAGGAATTAAAAATCCCCCTCGATCTCTCGTATCATAGCAATATTCTGTCGCTTAAGGGGACTATGCAACATTTGATTGCTATTAACAGGGGAATCGGTCTCTGCAATGGAATCCAAACCCGGCTTATACCGTTTAGCTTGTTTATATACAAGCTTTGCAGCCTGGGTAACTTGTTGGATTACAGAACTGGACGTGGTTGGCTGGGAACATTGCGGTCCGAAATCAGAACTGGCAGCGGTACGTACAGCATTTAAAGCTTGGTTGTGTACCTCAGAACATACTTCGGTTGGAACTCCAGGATCTAATGCCGCAGCATTAGTACTAGTACTGACAAAATGATCAAATCCCGGAAAATCCGGCTCAGCAGAATGCTGATTGGGGTTTCCTGGATTTGTACTAGACTCATGATGAGGCATACTGTTTACAGTACTAGTAACTTGCTCAGTTCCAGCACTAGTAGCTTGCTCCGCCCCAGCACTAGTAGCTGGGGCATTCATTAGGTTAGGGCTGGAGGCCTCATTAAGTACAGACTCCGAATTCACAGCATGCTTAAAGCTTTGGTAAATGGTATAAAGTATATCTGAATTAGCTCCGATTGGATTATTTAACGGATCTAAAAAGATATACAATTTGAAGCTTTGAGTGACGTGACAGACATGGCCTGTATTAATGGCATCTTTCAGTGTAAACATTAAATGTTTATTGAAAGTATGCAATAGCAAATTGGAGACCCGAATACAAGAACAATCTGGGTCAGAGGTTGCAAAACTTTTGTGAGAATAGTTTAGCAACCAAGAACCAATAAGTACTTTGGTGCTCCAACGATAAGGTAACCAGTTAACTAACCAACTAGGCGGAAGCTTGTAAACCCATGCCTCGATACCCTCTTTATAAGGGACGCTGGGCATTAGTGCCTGAATAGTATCCCAACCGTTCATAAAAAAACCGGGACCTTGTAGGTAAACCTGTGGTACATCATCCCGGTAGGTTGTATACAACGCAAGAAAACCATCAGAGCAAGCAATAAACGCTGACTTAAATTTTAAGATGGTTTTTTGTGCTTTAGGTATGCCATACCATCCTTGAACGTAATCAACCACTAACTGAGTGGTTAAATAAACTGCACTAGAGCAGAGAGTACCAGTCACTAGCAGTGTGACTAGTGGTGTAAATGGTGAAAACTTTAAACAAATAGCCACCCATTTAGCCCATAAACCCAAGTTAGGGTCAAACACACTACTGTATGCCTTAGCAGTCCACACTTTATTAAACGGCCACCATTGCATACAACGATTCCAAAAAGAGAAGGGGGTAATTTTCGTTACTTCTTTAGACACGTCTGATATGACGTCGTCTAAAATGTCTTTATAAATGGCTTTAGCCATTTTGCCAGTGGATCTTATATCCACTGGTTGTTGACCAAACACAACAACATCGATGTGTTTGGCAACACGGGTAGACCAATCGACAAGTTGGTTCCCGTAAAATTTTAAAGCATTCCACATAGGGAGAGTAAAATCAATCAATAAGTTCATCATGTTATAAAAATAAGTGCCAAATCAGCCAAACCCGCCCATCGATAGGAACTCTAAAGGCGGATAAGCCTGTTATCCCTAGCGTAGCTTTTGTCCGTTGATCGGGTTACCATTTAAAAAAAATTAGTGTGCTTAAAGTTTAGTATCTCCTATTAGTAAAGTTTTACTAAATTACAGTAAATCGAGGCGTATAAGCTAGTTATCCCTAGCTACGCTTTTGTCCGTTGAAGGAAGAGCCCTGCTCTCGCAGAGTGGGATTACGTGAGAAGGTCACCCTTCTCACTAAGCACACTCAAGGAAGAAGGGCAAGGGGTATCTTTACCCCTGCCCTTCTCGCAGAGTTTTTATTTATAAAAACTCAAGGCATTGGTTGTGAGCGATCGCTCGCAATGATTTGGTTACCATAAAATATTATAATTTCTCCTATTAGTTCATGTTATATAAAAAAATCAAAATAAAGAAAGAAACCTTCGCAGATGGGCTATGCCCGTCTGCAAGGGCGAAGATCCGCGCAGAGTGTAATTACTTCTGTGATCTCCCTCAAGGAAGAACTCTGCCCTCGCAGAGTTTTTATTTTAAAAACGCCAATCAATGTTGTGTACCTTATGTACCCAATTAGAATTCTGTAACATAGAATCCCACATATCAAGAGAAATTGCAACAGGTTCGTTCTCGGCGGCTTTTTGCTGAAATTTATTATAGATAACACTGCAATCAGGTAAAGCTAAGGCATGACCTAACCATGGATAAAGACTTTGAGCACTATCGGAGAAATGCAGGTATTGGTTGTGAGGGTAGTTACTACTCTCGCAATAAACATAAATCCTAATGCTATTCTCCTTAATGGTTAAGCCAGAAGGGCGTAACAAGTCTAAAATATTATTTACAGCGTCTTGTGCCTCGCTTTTAGATTTATAAACACCAGCAAAATTATCCGCATATGCGATCATAGAACAGTGTTGCACAACCAAAGTATCTAAATACCAAGCAAATAGAGTCGGACTGTAAGAAAATCCTTGTGCTAGTCCGGATACCAAGTGTCCACTATTGTGAATTGGGCTGTGGTGCCACTTCCAAATAAGCTGTTTAATCTTATGAGGCAAAGCGTTCAAACCTAGAGTATAAAACAAATGATCTATATTTACGGAATTAAAAGCTTTCTGGATATCCAAAGAAAGAATATAGACTTGTCCGTGAGTATGCATAATCCTGGAAGAGGATTGAGCAAGTAAAGAGATAGCGGTCTGAGTGCCAGACCCTGGACGAAAACCAGTCGTACGATTACTCCAAGATTTGCAAGCTGATTGCAACAAAGAATTAATAACACCCATGCAAATACGAGTACTTTTATTTGCAATAATAATTGGACGAGTCCCACCAGAATTTTTAAACATATTTTGTACAAATAGTTTATCAGAACAATTCCAAGTAGGCAAAATAAGCTGACGAGCATAAAAACACTCATATAAAAGCAGAGCAGGAACAAAATGTGGATCCATCCAAATTTTGTATAAAACGTTAAAAGCCGCACGAGAATCTCCTTGTACAAAGAAAGCCTCAGCTCTGCTAAACAAAGCAGAGTACTCATTATAAGCATTAAGCAAGCCAGCAATTTCTAACACTTGTAACAGAGTAGCACTAGACTCTGTGTAGATGTGATTAACACTATTTAAGTTATTTAGCATTTTATATTAAATATGGTCTTAACACACACTCTTTACCTGAATAGATTTCGCAGAAAACCAGCTATGTACCGAACTTGATTGGCCTTTCACCCCTAGCCGGAGGTCATCCCAGTCTCTTGCGACAGACACGGGTTCAGTCTTGGTAAATTCCAAACTTGCCTACGGCTAGCTCGATCGGTTTCGGGTCCAATAGACGTTGTATATAAAAATATAGTGTTACAAACCAAGCTTGTAATGCATAGAAGGTACCAAATATGGACATACTATTTTCCGTAAATTAGGCATACTTTTAGCATTAATGTAAATATGGTATTGTGGTTTATTATCTTTTGATAATTTACGAAACCGTACTTTACAAAGTAAGTTATATTTCTCAAGTAGTATAGAACATAATAAATGGCACTCAGAAAGAGTAAAAGACTCAGTGCATAATAATACACCACCATTGTTCCAAGTGCCATCGCCACCAATCCAAATAGCTAAGGCTAATGGAGTTAAGAATTGAGAAATTTGTTGGTTAATAACTTTAACACTATTAACGTAAAATAAATCATTTAACCAAATTAAAGAGCTAAAAGAATAAGTAGTCATTACGCGCCGAGTATACAACTTGTTACCATTTTTTTGATAAGAAGTAGAGTACTCATTAGATTTACGAGATACGTAGCCCATATCATACAATAAATCAACAATAAAATTAAAATACTCAATATGCGCATCACATTGAGATAAATACAAACGATAACTTTTTTTAGAACAAGTGTTAGGTGAACGCAAAATACAAGCATCACCTAAAAGTAATCCAACTGCAATCTCATAGAATTTGAAAGAATGCGGACCAATTCGTTTGTCAACAGGCAAACGAGCAACAAAGAAAGCAGCAACATAATGAGGCTCAACAGAGCTTTGATTTAAAAATAGAATAGAAATAGCAAATAGCAAAAACATTTTAAATTAATAGCAACAAACACGGGTTCAGTCTTGGTAATTTCCAAACTTGCCTACGGCTAGCTCGATCGGTTTCGGGTCCAATAGACGTTTTATATAATAACTTATACCAAGAGCCAGGTCCCAGTGCTAAGCCAGTAAAGTGCGCTTGGTATTAAACGGGATTACCGAGAAATAAAATACAATTATAAATTAAAGAGCAATGCTAGCGTGCAAAGCAAAGAAGGCAAGGGTTAGTGGTAGGAATGCTTTCCAACCCAAGCGCATGAAAGTATCGTAGCGATAACGTGGCAAAGTACCGCGAGTCCATACAAAAGCAAAGAATAGAGCAGTAATTTTCAAGGCACTGAAACCACCCAAGAAATAAATGCTGGCAATGGCACTCATTACAGCCATATTGGCGTACTCGGCAATAAAGAACAAAGCAAAACCCAAGCTACTATACTCAACGTTATAACCAGCGACAAGCTCGGCCTCAGCCTCAGGAAGATCAAAAGGTACGCGTTTAGTCTCAGCTAGAATACAAACCAAGAAAATCAAACACAGTGGCAACATGGCATACTGTGGAGTGGTTGGCATCTCTGCAAAGTTCAAACATTTCATACCAGTACCATCAGTTACAAACAAACCGATAGAAAGTAGAGCAGCACCTAGACTCAACTCGTAAGAAACCATCAAGGCTACAGAACGCAAGCAGCCCAAAAAAGCATATTTAGAGTTACTAGCCCAACCAGCCAACATTACACCATAAACAGCCAAGCTACTAATAGCCATAAGAACCAAACCCTGGAAAGAAGCATCAGAAATGCAGATACCAGCCCAAGCAACTTGACTTAGTACAAAACTAATCATGGGGCTAGCAGCAAAAGCACCAGCAGAACTAGAATCAGGCAAAATAGGCTCTTTAACACCCAACTTTAGTCCGTCCCAGAAAGGCTGTAGTACTCCGCCAATACCAGAGACATTAGGTCCATAACGACGTTGCATACTGGCCATTACAGTACGCTCAGCAAGAGTGAACATAGCTACACTCAACAAAACTGGAAGAATTAAAACCAAAATACTAGCAATAATCATTTTATATTATATTTTGTAAGCAGTATCTTGGTCCGCCTTTCAAGCGATTGCCAAAAATTCAACACTGCTGAGTTCATTTGAACTGTGGCCCATTTTTCAGTGCCACCGTGGCCCGGAACCGTTTAGTTAAGGCTAAGGATAAGGTTTGGGCAGCTATTATGGCGTCACCTACCCAACAGCCTAATCCTGCGCGAGTTTTGTCTGACGGCCAAACCGGCACGCCTAGCTTCTTTATATAATATTATAGGAAAACCCGGGTCATTAATACCGACAAACGTCCCTGCTCGAGCTGTGGCTCTTGCAGTCAAGCACTGCTTTCTATTTAAGTATTAGCAGCACCTTTGTTCACCTTCGTTACTATTCAGAAGGCATCCGTCCCAGAAAAGCTTGAGCATAAGAGTCATTGTCTAATTGTATGTGGTAACAAGGCATAACTGCCCGTCTGTTTCCAATCCACTACAATAATTCGCGACTAACACTTAGCACCCAGCAAAGCTGCATAGGGTCTCTTCGTCCCTTGCTAACGCCTTCGCATCTGCACGAAGATTTCAAATTCACAGATTCCATGTTAGAGACAGCCCGACAGTCGTTCAGCCATTCATGCAACGACGCCAATTAAACGTCAAGGGATTTCGCTACATTATGACAGTCAGGGTTACTGCCGCCGTTTGCTTTCGCCTTTGGGCAGGCGTCGGATGGTATACCGCCAGATCTGAGACTAGAGATAGCCCCAGAAATCTGCGTTAGCACTATCCTGTGTTTTTGGTAAACAGTCGCTGTCGGCTATTTTCTGTGTCTATTTAGCCGCTCATCCTCCAAGGTCACGAGCGCATTTTGCCGAGTTGATTTAACATGGTTGATTCTATGGCCTGAGTATATATACTAGTCAACCAGAGTCGGTATGCAGTACGGTTTTATAAAATAAGGAAGAGCTCTGCTCTCGCAGAGTGAGATTGCGTGAGAAGGTCCCCACCTTCTCACTAAGCACACTCAAGGAAGAAGGGTATCTTTTACCCCCTTCTCACTAATCACACTCAAGGAAGAGTGGGTAATACCCACTCTCGCAGAGTTTTTATCTATAAAAACTCAAGGCAGATCGTAGATCCGCGCAGAGTGTGATTAATCACACTCAAGGGCTTTCTTTGAAGGGCAAAGTATCCTTCTTTTGGCTTATCTTTAGGTGTAAACCATACTGGGACAGTAGGATTCGAACCTACGCATGATGAAGCCAAAGTCCATTGCCTTACCACTTGGCTATGCCCCACCTATTAAGTGGTATTTGTACGTGTGCAGATTCAGCACATAGCAGAGTATATAAGAGTTAGTATACTAAATGTAACCACAAAATGGTGGCAATGTTATAGGTGAGCTTCGGCAGTTCCTTGTACCGGACATGTATAAGCAAAATATTGCTAGACCAGTGAGCTATTACGCTTTCCAAACACAATGGCCGCTACCAAGCCCATGTTCTGGTGTTCAGTGCAAATTTTACCTTTTATATAATAACTCGCGTAATACTCACTCGTGCAGAAACTCTTGTTTCTTCGCATGTATAAACCACTGCTCGGCGCATGAAAGCTGAGCCAGCACCAAACTCTAATCTATTTATATTATATTTTATTTTACCGTAATCACTGTCTAATTGCAAAACCTTTGACTATACGGCCATGAAATCCATTTAGGGTTACTAATGTTAGCAGAATCAATTCTGGTCCTGTTATCAGCTTTATTTATCCAGAACGTATCTGCTACCTATAACACGGTATAAAATAGCGTTTTACTGTTAGTAAATTACAAACGCACAGAGATGAAAGGACTTGAACCTTTGGTCCCATGATTTGGAATCATGTGCTTTACCAACTAAGCTACACCTCTCCTATTAGTTAATTTCTAGGTTACAAAGTCCCCTCTCCGAAATATAAAATAAATAAATTATGCCATTGGTTTAATACCCAACCATACAGCACCAATTAGCAAAGGTAGAACAGTATGGAACTCAGTACGAGTTACATCAGCAGGGCCGCGCGGCATACCATGAACAACACGGTTGAAAGCCCAGAAGCCGTAAGCAGCACCAAGAACTTGGCAAACGCAGAAAACGTAAGCCAGCAACTCGTGTACGGCAAAGATGCTTACCAAGCACAAAATCTCAGCAATGAAGTTAGGGAAAAGTGGGAAGGCCAAGTTACCTAGGGTAAACAAGAAGAACAAGGTACTACCAATTGGCATACTAGCGCCAAGACCACTGAAGTATAGAATAAATTTAGTATGAGCACGGTCATACAAGATACCTACAATCAAGAACAAAGCTGGAGAAATCAAACCGTGAGCAATCATCATGAAGCTAGAGCTATAAGCGCTAAACTCGCTTTGACTAAAAATGGCAAGAGTTACTAGACTCATGTGAGCAATACTAGAGTAAGCTACAATTTTCTTCAAATCGATCTGACGTAGAGTACTCAAGGTGCTAAACAAGAAGCTAACCAAGCATAGGGTAGAAACCAGTGGGAAAACGCTAACGCAAAACTCTGGTACTACAGGCAACATAAAACGCAAGAAGCCAATACCTCCAAGTTTCAACAATACACCGGCAAGTAATACACTACCAGCAGTTGGAGCAGCTACGTGAGCCTCTGGCAACCACAAGTGTACAGGCATTAGTGGAATTTTAACAGCAAGTACAGCAAGCAAGCCCCAACCTAGAACAGTTTGATGATTACTGGCGCAAGTCATGTAAAGTACGTTAGTAGTACCGCACTCAGAATAAATCATAAACAAGGTAGGAAGCAATACCAAAGAACCGGCCATAGTATACAGGACAATTTTGTAAGCAGCCTCCAAACTACCGTATGGAGCACGCCCAATTAGTAGGAATAGCAAAATCAAGCTAGCCTCAAACAAGATGTAGAAACCAAGTAGGTCCAAGACACACAAAGCACCTAGAATCAAAACCTCCAACAAAATAAAAGTCATAAATCCGGCAACAGAGCGCAACAACATCATGCAAATTGGAAACAAAACAGTGGTCAACAGCATCAAGCTTAGAGCAACGCCGTCAATACCAAAAGCCAAATGGCTGCGTCCCAAAATAACCAACATTTGCAAACCATGACCAGAAGCATCATAGGTCCACCACATCCAAGTAACCGCCCATAGTGGCAAGAAAGTAGCAACAAAAGCCCAGGTTCGAATAACGTAAGCTTGGCTCTCTGGAATAAAGACCAAACTCAAAGCAAAAGTTAACAAAAATAGAGTAATATACATTAGATAAAAATTAAAAAATTAATGGCTGCGCAAATCGCCTACGCTTAATAGACCGCGATCACCGATAGCCCAAGTAATACGGCCAAGATCTAGAATTGGATTAACTGGGCTACGAGCAAACAATTGATCAAAACCCCAACGAGATCCGGCAAAGCGAATCAAAGTAAAGCGCTCAGATCCAACAGCAGCAGTAGCAGTTAAGATACCAGCAATCATCAATCCAAATGGTAGAGTTTTAACTCCCCAAGGAATGAAGAAAAGCATACCAGACAATAGGTTAGTACCAACCCAAACTTTTAGCATAATATCCAATAGCAAGATAGCCATGGCCAAAGTTGGCAAAATGTTACGTACTGGAGTTACACTAGAACCGGAAAAATCAACCATAAAGCATTGATAGAACAATTTGGTAGTATAGGCACTAGTTAGCATAGCGGTCAACAATAGCAAAGTATGAGCAACATCAGCAATTGGATCAGCGCAAATAGCAGCCAAGTTCAAAATAGTCTCCTTAGAGTAGAAACCACTCAACTCAGGGAATCCAATCAAGCTCAAAGAAGCTACAAGCAAAGTCAACATAGTAAACATGGAACTATGAGCACCACCACCATAACGAGCAATGTGTTGGTTACCGCCGTTACCACTAATGACCATACCAGCAGCCAAGAACAAAGCAGCTTTAAAGCTAGCGTGAGTCATCAAATGACCCATACTAGCCTCGGCACCAGTCTCACCAAGACCCAAGCTAACCATCATATCTAAACCCCTATATTTACAAATAGGGCTGGACTCTATCTTCACGTATAATAATAACGGTCTGCGTATAGTCTCTGAGGATAGAAAGTGTCTTAATTGACCCTTAATTTTCCTGCTGAGTGTCCTGAGGAGCGAGTCTCCTCTGCTTTCGCAGGAGGGCGAAGCCCTCCCCAAGGAAGGGTACTTTGCAGAAGGAAGGAAGAGCCCTGCTCTCGCAGAGTGGGATTACGTGAGAAGGTCCCCTTCTCACTAATCACACTCAAGGAAGAGCCCTGCTCTCGCAGAGTGGGATTACGTGAGAAGGTCCCCTTCTCACTAATCACACTCAAGGAAGAGCCCTGCTCTCGCAGAGTGGGATTACGTGAGAAGGTCCCCTTCTCACTAATCACACTCAAGGAAGAGCCCTGCTCTCGCAGAGTGGGATTACGTGAGAAGGTCCCCTTCTCACTAATCACACTCAAGGAAGAGCCCTGCTCTCGCAGAGTGGGATTACGTGAGAAGGTCCCCTTCTCACTAATCACACTCAAGGAAGAGCCCTGCTCTCGCAGAGTGGGATTACGTGAGAAGGTCCCCTTCTCACTAATCACACTCAAGGAAGAGCCCTGCTCTCGCAGAGTGGGATTACGTGAGAAGGTCCCCTTCTCACTAATCACACTCAAGGAAGAGCCCTGCTCTCGCAGAGTGGGATTACGTGAGAAGGTCCCCTTCTCACTAATCACACTCAAGGAAGAGCCCTGCTCTCGCAGAGTGGGATTACGTGAGAAGGTCCCCTTCTCACTAATCACACTCAAGGAAGAGCCCTGCTCTCGCAGAGTGGGATTACGTGAGAAGGTCCCCTTCTCACTAATCACACTCAAGGAAGAGCCCTGCTCTCGCAGAGTGGGATTACGTGAGAAGGTCCCCTTCTCACTAATCACACTCAAGGAAGAGCCCTGCTCTCGCAGAGTGGGATTACGTGAGAAGGTCCCCTTCTCACTAATCACACTCAAGGAAGAGCCCTGCTCTCGCAGAGTGGGATTACGTGAGAAGGTCCCCTTCTCACTAATCACACTCAAGGAAGAGCCCTGCTCTCGCAGAGTGGGATTACGTGAGAAGGTCCCCTTCTCACTAATCACACTCAAGGAAGAGCCCTGCTCTCGCAGAGTGGGATTACGTGAGAAGGTCCCCTTCTCACTAATCACACTCAAGGAAGAGCCCTGCTCTCGCAGAGTGGGATTACGTGAGAAGGTCCCCTTCTCACTAATCACACTCAAGGAAGAGCCCTGCTCTCGCAGAGTGGGATTACGTGAGAAGGTCCCCTTCTCACTAATCACACTCAAGGAAGAGCCCTGCTCTCGCAGAGTGGGATTACGTGAGAAGGTCCCCTTCTCACTAATCACACTCAAGGAAGAGCCCTGCTCTCGCAGAGTGGGATTACGTGAGAAGGTCCCCTTCTCACTAATCACACTCAAGGAAGAGCCCTGCTCTCGCAGAGTGGGATTACGTGAGAAGGTCCCCTTCTCACTAATCACACTCAAGGAAGAGCCCTGCTCTCGCAGAGTGGGATTACGTGAGAAGGTCCCCTTCTCACTAATCACACTCAAGGAAGAGCCCTGCTCTCGCAGAGTGGGATTACGTGAGAAGGTCCCCTTCTCACTAATCACACTCAAGGAAGAGCCCTGCTCTCGCAGAGTGGGATTACGTGAGAAGGTCCCCTTCTCACTAATCACACTCAAGGAAGAGCCCTGCTCTCGCAGAGTGGGATTACGTGAGAAGGTCCCCTTCTCACTAATCACACTCAAGGAAGAGCCCTGCTCTCGCAGAGTGGGATTACGTGAGAAGGTCCCCTTCTCACTAATCACACTCAAGGAAGAGCCCTGCTCTCGCAGAGTGGGATTACGTGAGAAGGTCCCCTTCTCACTAATCACACTCAAGGAAGAGCCCTGCTCTCGCAGAGTGGGATTACGTGAGAAGGTCCCCTTCTCACTAATCACACTCAAGGAAGAGCCCTGCTCTCGCAGAGTGGGATTACGTGAGAAGGTCCCCTTCTCACTAATCACACTCAAGGAAGAGCCCTGCTCTCGCAGAGTGGGATTACGTGAGAAGGTCCCCTTCTCACTAATCACACTCAAGGAAGAGCCCTGCTCTCGCAGAGTGGGATTACGTGAGAAGGTCCCCTTCTCACTAATCACACTCAAGGAACCTCGCACGTATGCTGAATCTGCATACGTGCAAGGTGGGTGGTACCCACCCGCGCAGAGTTTTTATTTATAAAAACTCAAGGCAGATCGAAGATCCGCGCAGAGTATGATTAAGTGAGAAGGCGGGCGCTTTGTTGCTTTCTCACTTAATCATACTCAAGGAAAGGCTCTGCCTTCGCAGAAGAGCTTCGCTCTTCAAGGAGTTTCCAGCATATAGCAGATTTTTTTTCTTTGTTTACACAAAGAAGGGGCATATGAAGTATCCACTTAACTATAGTATATAAAAAGAAAATACAAATAAATTAAAATGAATATTGATAGGACATACCCCAATTGACTACAAGTACTGTAGGCAATGACACGTTTCAAATCACTTTGAGTAGCACCGAATACACCAGCCATAAAAGCGGTCAAAGAACCAACGATAATGACAAACATCTCGTCGTGAATATGCAAACGTACCAACAAGTAAACACCAGCAGTTACTAGAGTAGCAGCATGGATAAGAGCAGATACAGGAGTTGGCATTATACCCACAACTTTCGTAGTGGGCTGGACTATATCATATGTATTTCATTGCGAGAGTAGTAACTACTCTCGCAACCAATGCCTTGATTGCGAGAGTAGTAACTACTCTCGCAACCAATGCCTTGATTGCGAGAGTAGTAACTACTC